CCGAGGCATTATTGGGGTTCCTTGTTGAATGAACCATAACTAGGAATACTTAAAGGAATTTTTTAAAGTAATAAGAGTGTTGTTGTAATTAATTTCATTATTTAATATTACTCACATATATATTACCTTTCTCTCGATGAAAGAATTTTTTAAAATTAGTCCAGTAGTTTTTGTATTATTTCAATACATACAAAAATACAAATCTTTCCTCTATAATTTTAGTATAGATAATTATTATTCAAGATTTCGTCAGCGTGATTTAAAAAAAATAGTGAAATCATAGCCAATGTTACTCAGGGATAACATAGCTTTTTAATAGTCCAAGAATTTTTTAAATCGGTTCAGTAGTTTTTGAGTTATTTCATTACATATGAAATTTTAGTCCCTTTACCTTTCCACCCTTTTCTTAAGAGGAAAGGATGGGAAGGAAAAGTGTATTTGACGGTGGAGACGCTTAGGCAGGGAAAATTTTCTTATTATGTGCGTCTCCTCCGTCAATTAAGAGTAGGCAACGCATTTGCAATTGCGGATTTTTATGGGCAGCGGTCGCTTTCCATTTCGGTGGATTCAGGTGGCCGCTTGCTCGTTTGCCACCTTACATTATAAAAAAATACAAATCTTTCTTATATAACATTACTATAGATTTGTTTAGACAAATGGTTAACTAGAAACAAAAGAATGATTGTACTAATATTAAAAAGCTGAGTCTCGATGGATAGATGTTACTATAAATGAAATCTATTACAAGCACACATAAGAGTAAGAAACCTACTGAACCCTTGCAGTATTCTTTCTTACGTGCTTGTCATGTTTTAATATTATTATTAGACGAGGCTAGCTATGCCCTCGTTGGGCCTGTACACCATTCACACAGCTTTAGTGGATTGTTTCAACTAGTGGCTAGGGTTGTCAAGTTTTAATTAACTTAATAAAAAATTCTCGAACTTGAAGACATAGACAGGCAACCCTAGTTATTACCTAATATTTATTTTAATTAACGAAACAATTTATTTTCACCTATTTGTAGTCATTACCACTGTTATTATAAATCTCAAGAGACAAGTCCAATTGTATGATGGAATCAAGGAATCGTTTTAAGACTGATAAGGTGGCAATCCTAGTTGTGTAGCGGCGCGGGGAATGAAGGGAGACGGGGGTACCGCTGTCACAATATCCGGATATATCCGGATTTATGTGAATTTCTAATGACTTTCACTTTTTGATAATTTGGTAGTTTTTTATATTTATTTCAATACTAATATTATACATTTGTAGTTTTTGAATTTTTATATGTATTGAGAAAACTCAAAAACTACTGGGTCTATTTTAAAAATTCTTTCACCGTTAGAAAGCTAATTTATCTGTAACATTGGATATATTTTCTTTTATTTCAGACAAAGTCCCTAGCAACAGCTAGTGAATATTAAGAATGTAACATAGGTTATATATTTTTATTACTTATTAATTTCACGCGGACGAAGTCGGCAGCAACAGCTAGTTTTTCAAATTTCCGAACAAAAACTTTCGTCTAAAAATCTAGACATTTTAATTTCAATTACTAATATTATCTACTTTTTAACCGAATTACCAAAATAAGAATTATCAATTCTTTTGTATTTTTTGTTTACCGTCAAATTCACAGAAGTCATTTAACAATGCGCTTACCCGTGCAAGCGGGTGGGTGGGAGGGGGAACTTCTTACTTGGAGGGGGAACTTAAGGGGGAGGGGAAAATACAAAGTATTCTGAATTCGTCATACGATGACGCGTCATATTCCTTCCGATGGCATATTTGACATCAATCTGTATTTATACTAATATAATAAAGCGTAAACACACTACTTCGTGACATAGGATGTCAGCAATCACAGTACAATTTTGAACAATTCTTTTTTTAATAAAAAGCCCTACACTTACGACACCCTTTAGACTATATTTTCATGATATTAAACTTAGGGTGTGAATAAATTGGAAAAAACCTTCATGTGGGAGAGGGACAATAAACTACAAGCTGCCAACATTAAGGAAGCAAGGTTATTATGGTAACGGTAATTTAGACATTAGCAATTGAGAAATCAAAGATATGTGTGAAGTCAACCAACCCGTATTGGGCCAGCGTGGTTGACTATGGCCTAGTCACCCTTAGGGTGGGCTCCGAGCCCCTCAGTGGGGACGTATAGTGAGCTGACGATGATGATGAAATGAGAATTTGACAAATGTAAATAATAAAATAAAGTTATAATTTCACTGGTTTATTACATTTTTAATTTATTTTGAAACATATTGTATAGGTTTAAAATAATTTCTTTTTATACAGCAATTTCAATAACCAGCATTAACTATTCGATTATAAACTATCGATCTAACCTCATCGTAAATAACTGCAAGGTAATGTTACGTAACTTGAGGAAGTACCGAACCAGTATAACTTGAGCTGGAGAATGTATGACGCTGTTTTGTTATCAAGGGTCGTTATAGTGGTTAATTCAGTAATTCTTTGGTTGCAGCCAAATCTTTCTAGTCCAAAAGTTATAAATTTCATAATTATTTAAAGTACTAGTTTTTACCTGCGACTCCTTCTACGTGAAATTTAAAAAACAATGGCCTATATGTTTCAAATTTCGTCTTCCTTAGTTAAGAAATTCATATTTCCCATATAAATATTTAAATATGAAGTAATATTCTTACGGATTATTCCCAACCGTCACCCCGCTATGTCCCCACATGGAGACAGATGAGTATAAAAATATTCATCCGTCCCACTAATTGCGACGAGAGGGTGGTTGGAAATTATTTTAAATAATAACGGTTCTGTCACCTTATTGTTGATAGCTAAAAGGTGGGACTGATGAAACTATTTATTCACACGTGGGGACAAAGCGGGTTGACGGTTGGGAATCCATTCTGACGTAGTTTCTTAACTATCGATACAAATCTTTATCGATACTACTACATCGATACTTTCCCATCACTAGTCACTTTGCTGGTCTTTGTTCATGTACGTGGATGTAGTTTTTTACGTATCGTCTACATCGAGTTTCGTACGAACTCATTCGTAGACTGGCAATGCATTTTGTGCATATCTGCGTTTTAATTACTACGTCTACTTAAAGTATCGATTTTAATTGTACAGTCTGGGAAACTGGTGTTCCACGTTAATAAATACTATATCTATACTACTAGCTGTTCCCGTACAGCTTCATCAGAACAGCATGAAATTATGAAAATTTTATTTTATTGTTTACATTTGTCAAATTATCAACAGCAAATGTCAAAATGACATGACATAACAAACCTTGGCAATCTTGCTTCTTTGATGTTGGCAGCAACTTATGGTCTCTTACCCACATTAGGGTTTTTATCCAAAATATTTACCACCAAGTTTAATGGCGTGAAAATATATAGCCTAAAGCGTGACGTAAGTGTAGGGCTTTCTTAAAAAAAAGGATTATTCAAAAATATGCTGTAATTGCTGACATCTTAGGCAACAAAGAAGTGTGTGTTTACGCTTTATTATAATAGTATAGAAGTATAGATAAAAAAGCGTTAACACACTACTTCGTGGCATAAGATGTCAGCAATCACAGTATTTGAATAATCGTTTCTTTAATAAAACGCCCTACACTTACACACTTTATATTTTAACGCTATTAAACTCAGGGGGTAAATAAATTCGAAAAAACTACATATGAGAAAGGGACCATAAACTACAAGCTGATATCAAGGAAGCAAGGTTGCTGGTAACGGTAATCGTTATCCAATGTTAAAGGCATTCGTTATTTGTGAATTTGAATTTTGGCATTTGCAATTATTATACAAATAAAAAAAAAATTATAATTTCAAAAACAGAAACATCTAGTATTTAATATTAATCATACTAATATTATAAATTCCAAAGTCTAGATGGATGTTTGTTAGGGTTTGTAGCCTAAACGGCTTTACGGATATCGATGAAATTTGGTATAAATGTAGAGGATAGTCTGAAAGAACATATAGGCTACTCACTTTTGTTTTTATAATACCACGCGGACGGAGTCGCGGTCAAAAACTATTAATACCAGAAACCCGTGCCTACGTCATCATTATCGTTAAAGTTTCGGTTAAAAATAACTACTTTCATGGAAATTGATAACAAATTTAATTACAAACGAGTTTATTTATGTGTATTCGAAGATTTTTAACGAAACAGTTAAAATATACAAACAATAGATATCGAAAATAGCCAATACTCGAGATATTATATTAAAAAAACTGTGTACGTAAAATTCTTAACCGGTATCCATTATAACCTTATTAAAGGTAACGACTAAAAAAACCGGTATAGAATAAATACGTTTACGACCCATTGGTGTGCGATTTTAACAAAAAAAAACTTAATTTTCAATCATATTCAGACCGCTTTTAGATAAAATCGATAAAACTAATAATTTAAAACTCACTCTTATAATAAAGATTGAATAAACAATGTGTAAAATTTATTTATTTATTTCATTTTTATAATAAAAACATCACATATTTATTTATTACTGGATGTTGCCCGCGACTCTGCCCGCGAGGCATTAAAAAATTATCCATAGTCTAAATGTAGTACACATTAATGCTAAAAACCTTCTAACATACATCAATCCAAACATACAAACTTTCGTATTTAATAAGAAATAAGATTATAAATCATCGATAACAATCACGGTCACTTCACTAGTTAAAAGTTCGATAAGATCAAACAAGGGACGTTCCCCATCACTAGCTGATATGGCGCACAGCGGGTTTAAATAGCTAATTTTATTTTACTTTTAATAACGTAACTACGCTTGTATTTATTCTATACTTTATTGATTATTTTTCAATCATTATGAAATATGAATGTAATAAAGTTATTACGTTATATAAAATTATCTTAACAAATAACAATTGATGACGTCATCTAGATATTTTAAACAGATAATATAAAATAAAAATTTTAGAAATAGGACATTTGATATGCATTCGTTTATAAGTTCTATTTATAGCATTTTTTATTTAAAATTAATAATACTAATTGTAATATATATAAGTATTTAATTATAAATTACCTTATAAGAGGGTTTCTCCATATCAAATTGTAATCCAAAGAGACAAAGAATTTTCCACGTAAACACTTCACAAAAAACACTAATCGTTTACATTTCCAACGCTGTAATTATTTTTTTAATGCATTATTTCATGTTTCAAACCCATTGCACTAATTATAATCCGACGCGGTGAAAATGTTACTTTTTCAATGTTTTATTTTTAGACACTTCTCGTATCACATTTTAATTGCATTTACAAATTTTTAACGGCTTATTTCTATCACAACAACAACAATAAATTATTTTTAAATCCACAGATTAAAATTAAAAAAAAAAACACTGGCCACTAGCACAATTACCACAGAATATAAACAACACGTAATGTAATTGAGAATTTTTTTTTCAACCACAACGCTGTTTCGTAACCGTCGACGTATTCTACCGTGTTATTGAAAGATTTCGAATAATAGAAATTTCTGAAGTGAAATTATTGAACACAATAAAACAATATGGCGTACATTTGACGAAAATAAGTCAAAACACGCGCGCGGGGAGCGTTCTCTTTGACAGGAACACTGCCATCTCTGAATACGGTTGCCCCGCGTCTGTGTGCTCAATGCTTCTTACCCGCTCACACACAGCTTAGGGCTGCCCTTCGTGTATATAATTATATTCAATTAATTTTTAATACTAATTAATGTGGTTTTACTTTGAGAAATAAAGAAGTAATTCAATTTAGTTAACAATAAAAAATAAATGATGTATTAAAATAAAATAAAAAACAGTTTTAAGGTCAGCGAGTAAGTATGTTTTTGAATTTGAGTAAAAAGTTATTTCTATATATATATAATAAATAACACTACTGTAGATATATTAAGTGTAGCATGAATTCAGTTTATAAAGAGGTTATAACACAACAAAATAAAACATAATAATCAGTGTAAATGAAAAAAAAAAGTTGTTATCCAGTTTTTAAACTAATACTATTGGAAAAATAAATAACTATGATGTACAAATATTTAGATTTTTTTCACAAAAATTAATAAATATGTAAAAACGAAGTTGACAACCCTGAAGCGACGATCGTTCACGTCGTACGTATTTATACATTTGTGATATTTATTTTAAATACCTATAATGATTGGCATGATACAAAAGAAACGAATACCGTTCAAACGATTTCGTAATTAACTAATCATTGATGTTTATTATTAATTATTACGTATCCATTACAGTTTAAAATTACGTTTGATTATAAATGTCATCATACACTAACTGGCCAAAATGACAGCCATTTAAAAATACCGATCTTTAAAATAAAACCTTAACCTCTATGGCCAGAAATCACGAAAAAAAATATTTTGTTTAATCGTTGTAATATTGTAATGTATATTATGTAATAAATATTCAGTTGTAATTAGATTTTAAAATCATGGCCAGATATTAAAGAAACATGTTGAGTTAAACAAACGCATCCGGAACCCACGCTTCGTGAAACTGAACGCCGAACCAGTTCATTATCTTGAAATTTTGCTTATACTGTGACCTCAAATGTTTTAGTTAATTTATTTTTAGCAGCACTAGATTTCCACAAAAAGCGTTCAGAGTTAGTGTAACCACATTACATTTCGGCATAATATATAAATAGTAAATCACTACAGATAATATATTACTAATGTAAAAGGTGTGTTATAACGAAATGCTTTTATCTTTTTGTGGTTAAAAAATAAACTCGTTAAGTTAATTATTTTTGTCAATTAAATGTGTTTTTTTATCTTATCATTCTCCTTAATAAATCATTCATATTCCAATTTACGCGCGAAAACATAGACTAAAATATATTTTACAATATTCGAAATACTAGTCTCTATTTAATTTCAAAAGCATGGTCACCGTACTTCAAGCGATACTACTAGATGTTAATACTCGAAGCGTGGGTGAAACAAATAAGGTTATTTTAATAGTAACTTGAATCACTTGGGAAAGAGAAAAAATTACATGATTCTGTGAGACATTATTAACGCATTTTATTACTAATAAAGAGTAAAGAGATAAATAAAGGTATTAATATATACTAAATTAAGAATATCGATTTAATTTATTTATAACATATATATAAATCAATATTGAAATATTTTAAAAATCATGATGAATCGGTTTTTAACGACACTTGTATACTCTTTGAACAAATGCTGAGGTGTGCGTAAACAAAGATTAAAAAAACAAAAAAAACAAGCTTCGTTCCGTGTTATTCGAAGTTTGAATTAATTTGAATCAGCCAATCGTTTGCAGGTTCACTTGCGCCATTTTTGTACTCCGGAGAGAACGAAAATATTTTTATACAATGAATTGTTTATGGTTTTCTTGTCAGCCAGGTACTGTGTGATTTAAAATTAATTTATCTTCAACTTAATAAGTACGCTAAAGATTAGGTATAAAAAGAAAAAACAATTAAATTAAGAGCATGTTTTATACAATTTATATTTTATTGTTAAGAACTGAATGGTTAACTATTGCTAATGTAAACTTTCAGAAAATTTAAAAGTTAGATTAATTCAAAGTTTAAAAGTCAGTTAACACTCTCTTTAAATACTAATTTCAAATTACATTTACAGTATTTTAAATAAAAATATTCAAAACTAATTTGAGTAAAAATCACTCCGTGTGCACGGGTGCCACGCAAACATACAAAACGTGTTCGTTTTTCAAATAATCCAAACGTTCAGATAAAACAAATTCAACCTTAGCACACTACAATAAAGTTGAATTTCAATTGACTTGTTCATTTATTATTACTTGTGTACAAATAGTATATGTTCATAGACATAACGTTTGCATGAAAAATAGGGTAACTCTGATTTTTTATAAAAAAAAAAGATTCCTTAGACTGACAAAAAATTTTTTTGTATATGTATGTTAGGAAAATTGTCCGGACATCGATCTTTAAGTTGTTTTGCTGCAGAATGAATAATTTAGAGCAATGTTACTGAGAATATTTATGTATATCTTGGGATCGATATTGACGTATATTTCGTATATAGATTTATAACCTATAAATTGATTGTTTTATACAAATTTGACGTGTAACAGAGAGTCAATTACCGATATATCATATAAGGAATGCTTCCAAAGGTCTTTTTTCGCCAAAATTTGTGCTCCGGATTAGTGAAACGCGAAAGTTTTAGTGGATAGATGGATGTTTCTTTGTTACTAACAACATCTAGTACCGCTCAATGAATCTCGCTGATATTTGGCTATTAGGACATAATTAAATAAGTTTATTTTGAATTTCGCGCGGATATAATCGCGGATGACAGCTAGAATATGTATATTTTTAAATTAAAACTTAGTTACAGATTCATTATTACTTGTTATTGAAGTCCTCTATGCTTTTATGCTTTAGGTAAACATATTTACTTTTAGATATTAGAATGTATTTAAAAGTTTCAAAATAATTCATTAATTGTAATGTATTTTTTTTTCTTTGTGTAGACATTAAAAGAATTATAATGAAGTATCGGGGAATGAATTGGCTCCTGTGACACAGGGCAACCTACTACAGGAGCAAAGACTTTCATGAAATGTATGCAAAAGAGACAATAAATGAATTGTTATTATTATTTATTAAAATAAGCCTTTTTCACGTGTAGTTACTTCAAAAAATTCATTGCATAAGAGACACCTTTGACTATACTAACACAAATAAGCGATTGTCAATTGTCTCTCAGCCAATTTTTTAGTTGCACACAAAAATCGATTACTGTGCGCACCATATAAGCACATAAGATTCAAGTGGAACTAAACAGTTGTGCGATAGGTTAGTCGTGCGCGCGTTAACTACATTTTTTGTCATTTATTTTAACGTCACAGTAAAAAATCAATCCTAAAGGTGGATCAGTCGACTATTGACACATTGATAAGGCGTCAAAAAAAAGTTTGACGACATTAAAAAAGATAAAAACGATAAGAAATCATGATAATAGCTTAATATCAAAGTTGATAGCAAATTCTAATTTCAAATCTTGATAATCGTAGATATCTGTGTTTGTTTCTGTTGTTTTAGTAGAGAAGGAAAGAGATGAGAACATGTAAAAATTGTATTGTGGACTTCTACCGTGAAATGTTAAATGTGAACGCAGCCTAAACGGCAATTCCAACCAAATGGATACGACGTGAGACGAACACACGGTATGCTTTTTATCAGAGAATATTTAATTTTAAATAATTGTTCAATTTATTTTAAATATCTTTTTGATGTTTTACTTTCTATGTTCTATTCGTACGAAGTAAATACGAATAAATGAAATAGTTGATAAATTATTTCCGTTCAAACACTAACAGACGTTCAAACGACACAAAATAACAAAATAAAAAAACGTTAGTAAATTTTCATAACAATAGCTTATTATATGGAAGTTACGTTTTATTATAACTTGTGTTATACCAATTAAATTTTGTAAAACATTTTTGTGAAATTTCAAAATTTTTATACACAAATAATATTTTTCAAAAATAATAATAAATCAGGTAGTGTGAACACCCTGACCCGAGCACCGCTCGCTCCGTCCAAATGAATGTAGCGGCCCTGATCACACGGTGCGATAATTTATAATTATTTTCTTATTATTATTATTTAATTTTATTAATATATGAATTATATTAAAATTACACGATTCAATTGTTTGATTTGGCTTAATTCTTAAACATCATCATCATCTCCTTATCCTACTCCCGTAGGGTCGGCGCGACAGGTTTTTGTCCTCTAGATAACTATATCATACGTCATCTCAGTCATCACCTTTTGATCATGTCACCTTTCACGCAATCCATCCATCTCTTTCTACGTCTACCTCTACTGATGTACCTCCACATTCATAACTAACGTTCTCCTAACGTTAATTCTTAAACATAATTATTTTAAAACGTAAGATTATACTTGGGTTTTTATAAACTCTTATAATTATACTAAAGACACTTTGCATTTCAATAAAAACCGCAAACATTTCGTTATTCAATTAGACAGTTTATAAAATGACCGATTGATATTATGTATTTACTTACAGTGACATGGTCATCTATACTATTATAATAAAGCGTAAACACACACTTCTTTGTTGCTTAAGATGTCAGCAATTACAGCATATTTTTGAATTATTTATTTTCTTAATAAAAAGCCTCACACTTACGTTACGCTTTAGGCTACATATTTTGACGATGTTAAACTTAGGTGGTAAATATTTTGGATAAAAACCCTTATGTGGGAAAGAGA